CTTTAACTGTAATTTATAAAGAAGATATGAGAATGTTATACAAAACACTCTCTGAATATGGGTTCGTTTTTGCAACTCTATTCTAAAAAGGAAATGGAATGTGTAGTATAAACTAAATAATATTAAAGCAATGTGATCATTGCCATTAAAAATATCCAAAATAGCCCTGGCCAGTTGGTCCAATTGGTTGGAATGGCATCCTGTGCACCAAAAGGTTATGGATTCTATTCCTGGTCAGGACACATACCCAGGATTTGGGGCATATATGGGAGGTAACCAAACAATGTTTTTCACGTTAATGTTTCTCTCTCTCCCGCTTCCTCTATTTCTAAAATCAATTTTTAAAAAGATATATATATATATATAGACATATAGATATAGACATACCCAAAATATTTTTCTAACTTCTCTATAATAATATATGCACACTGATCCTGAAGTATGACTATACATTTTCAAATAATCTCCAATAAAAATAAACAGAAAAATGGGGGTTTGTTTTATCTGCCTAAAAAAACTTAATGTCTAGGTATATAATAAATATTCAGTATTGCATTTAAAGCAAGGCCTTAATTACAGTTCCAGTTTAGATGAAACATTTTTAAGGAATATTTCTAGAATGAAAACCCAAAAGCGATCTCTCACAGCAGGAGGTTTATAACACACACTGCCTTGTATTTTAGTAATCTGAATTCATGTCTTCCTTTCTACCTGATTGTAAGCTACTTGAGGAAGGAGACTGCAACTAATTTAGCTTTGGATCTATTATAGCATGTAGCATTCTGCTAGTTAGTAAACAGTTAATATTTGATGAATGACAAAAATCTATTCTGCTCTTGCCAACAAAACGTAAGGTTTTTAATTTTCTTCATAAAATTGTATTTTCTAAAATCTTATAAAGGTTTTCAAATGCATGTTACTTTGAAGCATCACTTTTCCAAAAATGTGTATTTCTTTTAAACTAATAACATACTTTCTGCAAAACAACTGTATGTCACTATTAATCTTAGCAACATATCAAAAATTCAACTTCCAACAATTTCCTTTGAAAGTATCAAAATACTAACCCTGAACCTATCGTATGTAATGTCTGAAAACTTAAAACCTGAATTAGCCGAAACCGGTTTGGCTCAGTGGTAGATCGTCGGTCTGCGGACTGAAAGGTCCCAGGTTCGATTCCGGTCAAGGGCATGTACGTTGGTTGCGGGCACATCCCCAGTAGGGGGTGTGCAAGGAGGCAGCTGGTCGATGTTTCTCTCTCATCGACGTTTCTGGCTCTCTATCTCTCTCCCTTCCTCTCTGTAAAAAATCAATAAAATATATTTTAAAAAAAACAAAACCTGAATTATTCTAAGCTTACAGGGTTGTCCTTTCAGATTTTTAATCCTAGTAATACTTTTATTTATTTATTTTTAATCAATCTTTATTGTTCATAAAACTGATTTTTTTTTTTTTTTACAGAGATGAAGGGAAAGGGATAGAGAATTAGAAACATCTATGAGAGAGAAACATTGATCAGCTGCCTCCTGCACACCCCCTACTGGGGATGTGCCCACAACCAAGGCACGTGCCCTTGACTGGAATCGAACCTGGAACCTTTCAGTTCACAGGCCGACGCTCTATCCACTGAGCCAAGCTGGTTTCGGCCCTAGTAATACTTTTAAAGACAAGGTTGACTAATTCTTCCCTTTATTACCACCCTTTTCCTCAAATAATTTAACCTGTGCTCTTAGTTTCTTTCATCCACCCACAAAATATACCCGCTGGGGGAGGTCTGAAAAGGCAAAGGACTGGGAACAGCTGAATGTGAAACCTGGTGGGGAGCCCTGTCCCTGGTTTCTGTGCCAGATTTGCTAATATAATCTCCCTAAGTCTCTGTTGCCACAGATATAAAATAAAAGTACATAGTTGGAATTAATGATTCCTAAAATCCATTCCAGCTCAGGTTTTCTCCCTTAGAGGTGTTTGCTTTATTCATTCACTCCATTTTATGTAGCACCTGAGACAGAGAGGTAATCAAATACTGTAATTTTGCACTAGTTTGTTTGGCTCAGTGGATATAGCATGGATGGGCAGACTGAAGAGTCCTGGGTTTGATTCCCAGTTACAAGCTGGATCCCTAGCCTGGTTGGGGTGCATGCGGGAGACAACCAATCGATGTGACATTGATGTTTCTCTGTGTGTCCCTCCCTCTCCCTTCCACTCTCTTTAAAAAAATAATGAGAAAATATCCTCGGGTGAGGGTTAACAACAACAAAATACTGTAATTTCAATATTTATTGCCTAAAAAAAAACCTTGATTGGACATATATTCTGCCAGACACAGCACTGGGCGCTTGCAATATAGTATTTGTAGAGAGAGATCTACCAGGTGATATAGAACAGTGTTTCCCAAACTTCTCTCGTAATGAGAATCACCTGGTGGAGCTGTTAAACTACAGATTCCTGAATCCCAACTAAGAAGTGCTAAACTATAATAGAATTTTTGGGAGCATATAGGTAAAATTGTATACTTAACTTAGTGCTCTGTCTTAGAGCTCTGTCTTAGAGCACTAGTTAAGTATACAATTTTACCTATATGTTCCCAAAAATTCTAGTTTAGCACTTCTTAGTTGGGATTCAGGAATCTGTATTTTATTTTTATTTTATTTATTTATTTATTTATTTTGATTTTTTTTTCTTTTGCCCTCCTCCCTCCCTCCCATACATACCTTCCCTTCCCAGAGTTTTATGTCCATTGTTTGTACTTATATGCATGTATACAAGTCCTTCAGTTGATCTATTATCTCCCCCAGATCTCCCTCCCCTCCCCACTGTAATTTGACAGTCTGCTTGTTGCTTTACTGTCTCTATATCTATCTTTTGGTTCATCAGTTTATAATGTTTTTTATTATCCATAAATGAGTGAGGTCATGTGGTGTTTCTCTTTCATTGATTGGCTTATTTCACTAAGCATGATGCTCTCCAATTCCATCCAGGTTGCTGCAAATGATGAGAATTCCTTCTTTTTATGGCAGCATAGTATTCCACTGTGTAAATGTACCATAGTTTTTTGATCCAATCATCTGCTGACGGGCACCTAGGTTGTTTCCAAATTCTGGCTATTGTAGATTGTGCTGCTATGAACATAGGGGTGCATATATCCTTTCTGATTGGTGTTTCTAGTTTCTTGGGATATATTCCTAGAAGTGGGATTACTGGGTCAAATGGGAGTTCCATTTTCAGTTTTTTGAGGAAACTCCACACTGTTCTCCACAGTGGTTGCACCAGTCTGCATTCCCACCAGCAGTGCACGAGGGTTCCTTTTTCTCCACAACCTCGCCAACACTTTAACAGCTCCACCAGGTGATTCTCATTATGAGAGAAGTTTGGGAAACACTGATGTAGAAGAACTGAGGAAAATAAAGCTGAGGGAGCTGAGGTCAAAGAGGTGATGCTGAAGCTGCCTCTTCAATGCAGCAGCAATTTCCCAAGGTGCAGGAGTCCTGCACCCTGTTTAAGTAAGAAGGGTGACATCTGTAAAAAGAGCGACATATCAGGCACGTTGAGTGTTTCCAGATACTGAAGGTCGGGTGTCAAGGTGCCAGGGACAGCCTGACAGCTGAACTGGGCTGAGGTAGGGAGGTGGGAATTGAGAAAAGACAGACAGGACTACAGGTAGCCATTGACCAACTGTAGCAGCTTTATTAACTGTTAATGCCTTTTATACACAAACACTGGAATAGGAAGTCTGTGGAGAGGAATGTACTCTTTGTTCTTCTTTACCTCTAAGGGAGAAACAGAGCAGGACAAATTCTTGGTATAGCAAATCTCAGTCAATACTTACAGACGTCCTGGTAAGCCATGAGAAGTTGCTCTCATTCTACTGATAGTCGCCATCCAAACAAGCCTGGGAAATCTGTGTGGGTAGGGGCCAGCCCTGCTAGCCCCCTCGGAAGGCAAGGACCCTGTAAGCTTACACCCCGCCTCCCACAGCACAGCGCCCATTCCCGGGCCACTTGGCAGGCTTCGCCTGTCCCCCAGGCCACCAGCTCCACGACTGTGAGGACAGGAGAGTTTGCCCACCATTGACCTCCCAAGGCCTAAGACGCTGACGCGTGCTGAAGAAATTAATAAGTAAAGGATACGCCACTGAGTCAAAGTATCTCACTTCCAGAGCACTGCATCCTGAAGAGGAGGGCTCGCAGCGCCCTCTGCAGCCAGCTTGGATTTCCCGGGAAGAGTCAAACCCTGCGGGGGCTCCGCCTTCCCGTCCCCTCCCCTCCGCTCCGGGGCACAACCCCCGCGCGGTCCGGGGCGGGAGGCGGGCTGGGGTCCGCTGACGCCCGGCCTGGCCCTCCCCGGGAACCCACCCCGCGACCCTCCCGTCCAGCGGCGCCGGCGGGCCTCGGGCCATGGTGCCCGGAAGTGTATTTGCACATTTCGGAGAGAAAAATAACCAGATTAACTTCCACACTAACACGTGAAGAAGATACACCCGCACTCGGCTCCGGGTGGGAGACACCGGGTTCTTCCCAGGCAGCACAACTCACTGTTAAAGGCGTGGGGGCAGAGCGCCCTCTACTGGTCCGGGCGGCCTCGCGTCGCGGTCCCGTCACTAAACCCGCCTCTCCGCCCCTCCGCCCCGCCCCACCCCGCCCAGGCTCGCGAGAATAAGAACCGAAGTCTCCTTAAGGAGCTTGGCGGAACTAAAGTTCCCACGCCTATGGTTCCTACACGGAAAGGTTTCAACAACGCGAATCTATGGGCATTAAAGAGCAGAGCGGAAGGGAAGTGTTCTTAACGTTACAGGACCGAGCGGAAGTGCTGGTTCCCACGCCACCGGAGAGCATCCTGGGGGCCGGAAGTAGGTAGGAGCTCCTACAGTCGCGGCAAACTCGCGTGGCCGGGGGGCGCGTGGCAGTTCCCTGAGGACAGTGTTGCCGGAGCGCCTGCCTCGTGCGCGGAGGTCCGAGGCGGCGTTGGTTGGACCTCGGTGCACAGCCTGAGACTGCGGAGCCATGGTGGGGCGATCCCGGCGGCGCGGAGCGGCCAAGTGGGCCGCGGTGAGAGCCGCGGCAGGTCGCGGCGCGGCGGACGAAACGGAAGACGATTCTGAGCTGCCACCCTCACCGGGGGACTCCAGCTACTACCAAGACAAGGTAGATGAGTTTCATGAGGCCCGGTCTCGAGCCGCCTTGGCTAAGGGTTGGAACGAAGTAGAGAGTGGGGACGAGGAGGATGGCGATGAGGAGGAGGAGGTCCTAGCCCTCGATGTTGCCGATGAGGACGATGAAGATGAAGAGAGTGCGGAGGAGGATGAGGAGGAGGACGATGATGATGGTGGGAGCTCAGTGCAGAGTGAAGCTGAGGCCTCTGCGGATCCCAGTTTGTCGTGGGGTCAGAGGAAAAAACTTTACTATGATACGGACTATGGTTCCAAGTCCCGAGGCCGGCGGAGTCAGCAAGAAGTAGAGGAGGAGGAAAGAGAGGAGGAGGAGGAGGCACAGCTCATCCAGAGGCGCCTAGCCCAAGCTTTGCAAGAGGATGATTTTGGGGTTACCTGGGTGGAGGCCTTTGCAAAACCTCAGGCCCCTCAGGTAGATGAGTCCGAGACACGGGTCGTGAAGGACTTGGCAAAGGTTTCCGTGAAAGAGAAGCTGAAGATGCTGAAGAAGGAATCCCCAGAGCTCCTGGAGCTGATAGAAGACCTGAAAGTTAAGTTGACGGAGGTGAAAGATGAGCTGGAGCCATTGTTGCAATTGGTGGAGCAAGGGGTCATTCCACCTGGAAAAGGAAGCCAATACCTGAGGACCAAGTACAACCTCTATTTGAATTACTGCTCCAACATCAGTTTTTATTTGATCCTGAAAGCTAGGAGAGTCCCTGCACACGGACATCCTGTTATAGAAAGGCTTGTTACCTACCGAACTTTAATCAACAAGCTGTCAGCTGTGGATCAGAAGCTGTCCTCAGAGATTCGTTATCTACTCACACTTAAGGATGGTGCTGGAAAGAAAGAACTAACTACAAAAGCAAAAGCCACCAAGGCCAAACCAAAATCTGTTTCACAGGCTGCTGCTGCTGCCTCTGCTGTTGCAGATCTTTCTGATGATTCCAATTTTGATGAAGCTGCACTGAAATACTATAAAGACATGGAAGACAGGCAAACGTTGAAGAGAAAGAAAGAAGAAAATAGTACTGAAGAACAGGATCTTGAGGATAAAAATGCAAAGAGAGCCATTACCTATCAGATTGCTAAAAATAGGGGACTTACACCAAGGAGAAAGAAGATTGATCGAAATCCCAGAGTGAAACACAGAGAGAAGTTCAGGAGAGCCAAAATTCGCAGGAGAGGCCAGGTCCGCGAAGTTCGCAGGGAAGAGCAACGTTACAGTGGTGAACTATCTGGAATTCGTGCGGGAGTTAAAAAGAGCATTAAGCTTAAGTAAAGCTTTTTTTTTTTTTGAAAGTTTTATATCAATAAATTTAATTTTAACTAGTGAAGTGATTGTTTTGTTTTAATATATAATTCCTAACCTTTTAAAAAAAAATCTTGTCAACAGGGAAATTCATTTGGGTTACTGTTCAATTTATTTGTCCTTTAATTTATGTTAAAGTCATACAAGAACTGTGGGGGCTATTTGCAAATGCTTGGGAAAAGAGCTGGTTCTGAAAAAAGTTCTTCAGTAACCTGTCAAGTATTATCTAGGAAAATTTCACAGCTAGTTAGCAAAAGTCAAACTTTGTAATTTTTCGCATAAATTGAAGAGAATACACCTTGGCAGTCATTTGTAAAGTAACCTTTGAAATAGTTCTGACATTATTTCATTTACCTAAATATAATTCTTGAGCCAGAATGCTTGTTAATAAGTTTATAATGTTAAGGGTTTTGTACATTTTGTGTGGTAAAAACTTAGGAGTAAAATGGAACTTTGGTTAAAAGTAGAGATATTCCTTGATTACATTAATTGTGATATTTTCTAATAGTCCTGAACGTGGGAAATAAGGAAAAAATTCCATTTCCCCTTCTGTACTCCGACTTGCAGTGGTTGCTGTTTGTATATTTCGTTTGCTGAAAATTTAGTCTGATTACCACTAGGTAAGTGCCAACTTAAATTGATAACAAAGTTACAGTTTTCTGCCAAAACCGGTTTGGCTCAGTGGGTTTGCAGACTGAAGGGTCCCAGGTTCGATTCAGGCAAGGGCGGGCACATCCCCAGTGGGGGGTGTGCAGGAGGCAGTTGGTCCATGTTTCTAGCTCTCTGTCCCTCTCCCTTCCTCTCTGTGAAAAATCAATAAAATATATATTTAAAAAAAAAAAAAAAAAACAAAACAAAGTTACCGTTTTCTTTAGTTACTCTGGTATTTATAGTTGGAGAGAGAGATTGATATTGTGAACTTTTAGGATGATGCCAGGGAAGAAAACAAGAGACTAGTAAAGAAAAGCACAAAAGATGCCTTAATTGTCACTGTTTTCATTAAACATTGGGCTAGCTGCTAAAGATGCACAGCAGTTAATATTTATTAAATACCATGTACCAAGTATTCAATCTTTGCAATAACTTTGTGAGGTAATACCTTTATATCAGAGATGAGGATCCTGAAATTCGTAAAGGTTAAACTTCTATAGAGCACATGTTTGGGATTTAGGCCCAAGCCAGCTTTTTTTGAGCCTTCATTCTCTTAACCTCTGGCTTACTTCTGCTTCCTTAGAGTAGTACAGATGTCAAATTAATTTATCTTTTGTTTTATAAATAAAAGAGGTAGGTTGGAAGTAAAATTAACACTCAATGGGTGCTAAGGTGCACTTTGCACTTATTTCCCTTTTCCTCAAAACTACTCTTGTGTGGCAAATTCTATTATCCATATTATAAAGATGAGGAAACTGTGACAAAGTTAAATAACTTTATCAAGGTGTATAGCTAGTAAGTGGCAAAGCCCTATCCTGTTCTGATATATAAAAACAGGGCCCTGGCCAGTTTTGCTCAGTGGATAGAACATTGGCCTGTGGACTAAAGGGTTCCGGGTTTGATTCCTGTCAGGGTGCATGCCTGGGTTGTGAACTCGATCCCCAGGGCGGGGTGTGCAGGATGCGGGCCAGTCGATGGTTCTCATTTCTCTCTCTCTCTCTCTGAAAACAACAAAAACCTGCAGGTTTTGGAGTTAACTTACTAGGGTGGTTTTGAGTTAATTACTTGATGTCTGACTTATTTTATGCGTATAGTACAATTATTATATCTAACTTGAAGGAGGAATAACAATGGTTAAGAGCTGTAAGATCATAGAAAATATATATTGGTTTCTGCCCCTGAATTTATCCTTGAAAATTCCTAAGCTAAGCGATAAGATCATTCAAGAGCGTCTTTTATTCAATGAGGTGACTCTGGAGGGCTCCTGGGTGGTGGGGGACTGGTCACCAGAAACACCAAGCCATGATTAGAAGCTTGGAATTTTGATCCCCACTCTCCAATCTCCAGAAAGGGGAGTGGAGCTGGAAATGGAGTTTTTTATTATATCTATGTGAGAAAGTCTTAAAATCCCAAGTGTGGCCAAGGTCGGTTTAGCTCAATGGATAGAGCGTTGGCTTAGGGACTGAAAGGTCCCGGGTTCGATTCCAGTCAAGGGCATGTACCTTGGTTGCGGGCATATTCCCAGTAGGGGGTGTGCAAGAGGCAGCTGATCGATGACTCTCTCTCATTGATGTTTCTAACTATCTCTCTCCCTTCCTCTCTGTACATAGAACATAAACACATAAATCAATAAAAAATATATATATTTTTTAAATCCCAAGTGTGGTCAGGGAGCTTGCAAGTTGGTGAACATATCCCTTACTGGGAGGGTGATGCACCCCAATTCCACCCTGGACAGAACCCCCTGTGCTCAGGAGCCTCCAGACCTTATCCTATCTCTTTATCTCACTGGTCATCTGTATCTCATATCCTTTTAATAAATTGGTAGATGTAATAAGTGATTCCATAAGTTCTGTGATCAAACTAATTGAACACTAGGAGGAAATCCTGGGAACCTCTGATTTATAGCTCACTAGCCAGAAGCACAGATGACAAGCTGGTTGTCTTCAGGTAGACAGCTTCAGAATTAAGTTGTAAGACACCCAGCTACTGTCAGAGAGAATTGTTTAGTGGGGGAAAGCCTCAGTACATCTGGTGTCAGAAAGTGTGAGTCTAGCAGAAGCGTGAGAGTAAAGGAGACACACACAGGTGAAAAAGTGTCCCAATTTTAGGGCAGACTCTAGACTACCCAGGTTCCTAATCCAGCTCCATCACTTATAACTTGCTCAAGTTACTTGCCCTCTCTGTTCTTCAGTTTTTTTTCATCAAATTAGGGATGTTAGTAATAGCAGTACCTACTTTTAGAGCTATTATGAGGATTAAGTCAATACATGTAAAACACTTAAACAATGCCCATTATATGGGAATCACCTAAAAAGCATTGGCTCTTAATACAGGGTTGTGAGAATTCTGTGAGTTGTAACTCATAGTATAGTGGTTCCTATTTATTACAGGAATATAGAGAATAAAATGTAGTCATATATAGAAATGCTTGAGAAGTTAATATAAGTTTGGAAGAAGAGGTTAGTATTGGGTGAGCACATGAAGGGATATAGAAAACTCTTGAATAGGGCAATAAAACAAGGAAATGAAGTTAGAGGTTTAAAGTGTTTATGTTCTATGTCAAATCCCTGACATATATAAACTTGCAGTGAAAAAAAAAATATTTTCAAAGAAAAAACCTTTCCATTTAGGAAAGTGGAAAAATTAAGCTTTGTTATATATTGCTCTGAATATGTCAAGTATTCCTTTAGAGACCTCATATTAATAAATGTTAATACATACTGGAATAGGTAGGGTGTTGATGAGTGCTATCCTATTTTATAAACATAAAAAGTGGCCTTGTCTGATGTGAATTAATAGCAAAAGATGTAACAAATTGCTGGATTTAATACATCATCCAAATTTTGAATTTACTTAGACATTTAAAGAGCACTGAGGGGGGTGGGAGGAGGTGGAAGAGGGCATAGAGGGGTTAAATGGTGATGGAAAATAAAATAAATTTAAAAAATAATAAAGATCACTGATGGGTACTGTCCTAACACATGGAAAATAAGTTAACTACTCAATGTTAAAATTTTTCATAGAGACTCTGAATTCTGGAGAGTCTCATGGATAAGAGTTCCAATAAAGTAGATTCCTAGTATCAGGCATCAATACAAAGTAACAGCCTATTTTATGTCAGCATATTAGGCTATGGACAGCTATTGAAAATATAAAATATTCAAAATTTAAGAAGAAAATTCCAAATTTCTGACTAGCTTTGGGCTAGTCAATTTCTAGTCAGTTGCCTCTCCTTAACTAAGGAGTTAAATTAGCATCTTCTTAATTTTTTGTGTAGAAATCCATTTAATTGCTTATCAGATGTATATAACTTCCTTAATTGTCAAAGCTTTTTGGTAAACTAGAATTTTTGTGTGTGTGATCTTAAAGATAAAAGCTAACTTAGATAACTTGAATAACTGTGTTCACATATCTGACAAAAAATATTTGCTATCTCTGAGGAATGGCTTGAGTTGCTTATTTTTTCTTGCTGGTTGTATGAAGTAAAAGAATTTTAAATTAAAATGTTAAAGTAGCCGAAACCGGTTTGGCTCAGTGGATAGAGTCAGCCTGCGAACTGAAAGGTCCTGGGTTCGATTCCGGTCAAGGGTATGTACCTTGGTTGCAGGCACAACCCCAGTAGGGGGCGTGCAAGAGGCAGCTGATCGATGACTCTACTCTGTATCTCTCTCCCTCTCTGTAAAAAATCAATAAAATATATATTTTTTTAAATGTTAAAGTAATTACTTTTAAAGTTAACATTATAAAAATAATTCATGAAAGGAAAATCGGTATAATTTACATTTAAGGGATCACAGTGATGAACATGTACCACTGTCTAAATAGACGATCCAAAAAAAAAAATCCTGTAGGATTCAACTAGAGTTCCAAATCATTCAAACTGAATATTGCTTCAGTAATAAATGAGAGTTTTTAAATGCTTTTAGTTATTGATTCTTCTGTAAAATTTGTGTTTTGAGAGAAAAAGTTTGAACACAGAAACAGCATAGAAAATTTAATATCACATGTGCTTTAAATTTCACTTACTGTATTTTCTTATATGAAACTTTTTAATCTATTGATTTGAGTGAGAGATAGACATTAATTTGTTGTTCCACTTATATATACATTCATTGGTTGGTTCTTGTATGTGCCGTAGCTAAGGATCAAATCTGCAACCTTGGTGTATCCAGACAATGCTATAAACCAACTGAGGTACCCAGCCAGGGCTTAGACATATATTTTTAATTACATCATGCTTGAACATACACAAAAATGGAAGTATGCTCTGACTGATGTGCCTAAATGGTCAGAGTGTCCCTTCATACGCCAAAGGGTTGTGGGTTTGATTCCCAGTCAAAGGCTTATACCTGGGTTACAGGTTGAATCCCTGGCCTGTTCTCTCTCACACTGATGTTTCTCTCCCCCTTCCTCTTTTCTTCCCCCTCCTCTTCCCTCACCTCCCCCCCTTCTTGGAACTTTCCTGCATACCAGCTAGGAAAAAAAAAAAAGGAAAGAAAAAATGAAGATTTCCATTATAGCAAAGAGAACAAATTAAGAGGCAGATTTGAGAGAGATATAGAAGAGAACTTGAAAGAGAGCACATGAAAATTGGAACAAACTGTAGATAAATTCAATAGAAGGTCAGCAAAAGCAATCAACTATTTGCAGCAACACTATTAAGATATTAAAACTAGCCTGGCACAATTCAGTTCCTGGTCAGAGCTTGATCCCCAACATGGAGCATGCAGGAGGCAGCCGATCAATGATTCTCATCATTGATGTTTCTATCTCTCCCTTTCCCTTCCTCTTAGAACTCAGTAAAAAAGATACACACACACACACATATGTGTGTGTATGTATGTATATATATATATACATATATATGTATGTGTATATATATATATATGAAATGAAAAGGTATTAAAAATAGACACAAAGTATGATAAGTTCCTATAGGGTAGGAATTCTACTCCACAATATACACAAGGAACACAAACTGCTGTTAGCAGGATCATAAAGATAATTATCAAACTTAAAGTAGTCTCTCAAGATATTTTATTATTTTCTACTATAAAGTTAATACTTTCATTATAGCCAAAACTGGTTTGGCATTGGTCTGCAAACTGAAGGGTCCTGGGTTCGAGTCCGGGCAAGGACATGTACATTGGTTGCGGGCACATCCCCTATGGGGGTTGTGCAGGAGGTAGGTGGTTAATGTTTCTAACTCTCCCTCTCCCTTCTTCTTTGTAAAGAATCAATAAAATATATTTTTTAAAAGAAAAAAAGAATGCCAGTTGATTTTTCTCAACTGGTATTGTGCTAAAGTTAACACTTTTATTATAGACTACTTGCAAATACAGTAGAGTAGAAAAATGGAAAAATGCATCCATATTTCTACTACCCAGAGAAAACTGCCATTGTTTGACCTAGACTAAACACATTGTTTAAGATAAAGGTTTTTAATGAGAGTGCATTGTTGTATTAAGAATAGTGTATTTCTTAAGAGTATTATAGATACAATAAACATGGAAAGAAGGTGTATATTGACTATTTTTGAAATTAATACTGGATACTAATCAAATAATAATCAAAATAGAAATAACCGTAATCAAAACCTAGTAATTCAAAAGCAAAGAAGGCCCTGGCCAGTTTGGCTTGGTGGATAGAGCGTCTGCCTGCAAACTGTAGGGTCCCAGGTTCAATTCTAGTCAAGGGCACATGCCCAGCTTGCAGGCTCAATCCCCAGTAGGAGATGTGCAGGAGGCAGGCCATCAATGATTTTCATCATTGATGTTTCTCTCTCCCTCTTTCTTCCTCTCTGAAATCAATAAAAAAAAATTTTTTTTTTAAAGCAAAGAAGATGGACTGTAAAGAGCGTTTTTCACAGAGGCTTTATATTAACTAACTAGAAGCCCAATGCACAAATTCATGCAAGAGTAGACCTTCCTTCCTCCGGCCACGGAGACCCGGGCTTCCCTTGCAGCCCCGGCTTAGTCTGGAAGGACATCCAGTCTAATTAGCATATTGTGCTTTTATTATTATAGTTAGTACAAATAAATTCCTGCGTTTATTAAAATGAGAAGTTTAGCATCAAGTCTTAAATTGCCTTGTTTTCAAATAAGACTTTTCCCAAGTATCACACAAAAATAAAAGGCTCTAGAAAACCATTATTTGGAATCATAATACATCTGTTTACTAAACTGAAGAATAGCAACCCTTCTCAAGTGTTATGCTTTCTCTGATCACAGCTCTAAGAAGCTTATGCTAAATGTACATTGATCTCGAAAATGTTTTGTAATCTAAATGTCCATCCTTAAGATCATCACAGGGTTTCAAAAAAACCAAACACGGACAAATAAAAATAAAATGTAGGTAAGTTGAAAAACATCCCTTGCTTTATATGACAGGAAAATAGGGCTTGATTTTTACCATGGCTTGAATTTTGTCACTTTAAAACTATAGGAAGATGCTCTGTGCATTTTCAAGAGGGAGCGTCGTGTTCAGGCTTATTTTTATAGTCTTGGCTTCACTAAATGTGTGTAGCAGCTGAATCATCCCTTTATGTCACCAGAGGTTATGCAGGGCTGTGATTACATCATTGATCCAAAAGCTAAAAGCATCAGAAACTGGGAACTTGGAGTATCATCCACCTTTAAAGAAAACGCTCATAAATAGTGTTCCCTATAAAATTTACGAGACTCACATTTCAGCATTTTCTATATTCATTACTCTGCCAATTAATGACATAAGGTATAAATAGAACTTTTTAAAAGTAGAATGCCGTTTTAAAAATAATAACTTCAAGATCCCACAGCATGTCAAAGTTTCTAATACCTATAAGTATTTTAGCTAACTAGAAAAGAGAAAGTTAGCAACTTATGCTAGATAGCATTTCGTTCTTTAAATTGATGACTTCCCTGGCTGCTTATTGGCCTTTCTCAAGAGTGGTTTGTGAGGACTCTGTTCTCTTCCACCTACAATGGCATAAGTGTATATTCTTTTCAGATTCTTCAGTGAAACAATGCAGAATATCTCTGAAGGAACCTGACAAAATATAAGGATACTTCAAAATTTCTGCCTGGAAAAAAAAAAAAAAACCACCAAGGTAAAATATCCACTTAAAGATGGGTGTTAAAACCATACAATACAGGGTTGGGAGACTGGATGGAAAAAGTGAAGGAATTGAGAAGTACAAATTAGTAGTTACAAAATAGGGGATGTAAAGTACAGCACAGAGAATATCATTGGTAATAACTGTGTGGTGTCAGGTGGGCTCTAGACTTATGGGGAATCACCTTGCAAGTTATATAAACATACAATCACTGTGCTGTACACCTGAGACTAATATATTGAATATCAACTATAATTGAAAAAAAAATTTCTTTAAAGTTTTTTTAAAGAGAAAATTGGTGCAGACAACATACTTTTAGAACAAATTGTGGATTTTGTGTCAGGTTGCAATAACTGAAACCTGCCTTTACCTGAGATCTTTTCATTTTTCTCTTCAGGGTATTATACAACTTGGACTTCTTAAAAGGCAAATGTGGTGGTGTGTTTTGTTTTGTTTTTATCAATACTCTCACCATCACCACAACTAAAATGAAAAGGTCCAACAAACTTCCAAAATTTTAAAGATATAATGAATGAAAAGGCTTTTCTCAATCGAGTTTTTCTTACATGTTTTGCCAAAATAATAAAAATGTAGCTAATATTTATTGTTAACCCTGTCTAAAAGCTTATATTTCTTATTTAGCCTCCACAACATACCTATGAATAAGTAATCTGATAACTCTTACAGGAGAGGAATCCAGGCTCAGATGACAGCTTACTCAGGAAGGTGGTAGCGCTGGTACCTACTGGGCCAGGGGAAATAACAAAAACTTTAAAGTTACTAAGAAATGTTCTGGCTGCTTTGAAGTTAGCTTCTTGTAAACATTTCCTTTTAAATCGTGCTTGTTTAAAGGATTTGGTGAGGGCCACGTGGCAATTTCTTGTGGTGATTTCAAGAGTGCTTTTCAGAGAATAACAAATAAAAATATTTCCTTTTCCTTTTAGAGAAGAAACTTCCTCTTCAGGGGGGGGAACACAGACCTGAGTAAAAAGCAGGTGGGCAAAACGTTACACAACAGCGATTTTAATAAAGAGTCAACGTGGGTTCCATGACAGCATTTTTATAACCCGAACACAAAGCCCATCTGCTAGGAGGTGCCCGGGGGAAGGGCGCGGCCAGGAGCGGGAAGGAGAAGGAGGTGACGAGAAATTGTTTTTATTGGAGAATGTGTACTCACGGGAATTACCGGATCGGTAGTCATTGATTTAAATAATCAAAGCAAAACAGCAGGGTCCAATTACGGGCGAGGCGGGAGGGAAGTGGGGGCGGTCGGCCTGGAACTGACACCGCTCCCTAAATCCCAAGCTGTTTGGCCTCAGACGCCCCGGGCGCCGGGGACGCCGGGAGCCGGGGGTTCAAGTCCCACCAAACCCGGCTCCGTCCCCGCAGGGCCCGGGGACAAAGGAGGCGCCGAAAGGACGACGCCCACCTCTGCTTCCTCACAGAAAGCCCCTGAGCCAACCCCCTGAATCTGTGTCTAAAGTCCTATGTGTTTAGGCAAAGGACACAGTTTAATGGAGGGGGGCCTTTAAAATTCGCTTAAATTGGCTTTCTTTCTTTTTTTTAAATATATTTTATTGATTTACAGAGAGGGATAGAGAGTTACGGTAGAAACATCGATGAGAGAGAATCACTGATCAGCTGCCCACAACCAAGGTACATGCCCTTGACCGGAATCGAACCCGGGACCTTTCAGTCCACAGGCTGACGCTCTATCCAGGGAGCCAAACCGGTTTGGGCTACATTGGCTTTCATCCCACACCCCGACCCTCCGCGCCATGGGGGGAGTGGGGCGGCCACACACACGGCGCCGCGGGGACCGCCACCTGCCAGGCCCGGGCCGGGCACACCGCCCCCGGGGGCGCCGGGAGGAGGCGGCGGCCGCCGGGCGGGGCCGGCCCTCCCGCTGGCGGGGCCGGCGGGGCGGGCTCAGACCGCGCGGCGGAGCCCAGACGCCGGCCCGCGGCCAACGAGGAAGGCGGCGGCGGCGGCGGGCCGGGCCGGAGCAGCGGCTCCCGCGTGGGCCCCGCCCCTCCCAGGCCGGCGCGAGCGGAGGAGGCGGCGGCGGCGCGGGAGGAGCAGCATGGCCGAGCCCTCAGCGCCGCCCGCCGCCGCCGCCGGCGCGGAAAGTTGCGGCGAGGAGCCGGCGCGGGGCGCGGACCCGGAGGGCGAGGCGGGGCCGCCGCCGGCCTCCCCCGGGGGGCAGTCGGAGCCCGGCTCGCCGGTGGCCGCCCCCTTCTTCCTGCTCTACCCGGGCGATGGGGGCGCCGGCTTCACGGCGCGCCCGCCGCCCCCGCAGCCGCGCGCCTGGAGGACCCCGCCGTCGCCCGGCTCCCCGCTGCCCTTCCTGCTGCTGAGCTACCCGGGCGGCGGCGGCGGCGGCGGCGGCGGCGGCAAGCACCGTGAGTGGCGGGGCCGGGGGCGGGGGGCCGGGGCGGGGAGGGCCGGGGGGCGGGCGGCGGGGGCCCCGGGAGGCACCTGTCCGGGCGAGAGGCCGCCGCGGTCCGAGCGCCCGACTCTTTACCCCCAAGTCTCCCTCCCCGCGGGCTCCGGCGCGGCGCGGCCTCCCCCTCCCGAGCGGCGCCCCTCCCCGCGGACTCACGTGCTCCGGGTCCCAGCCCAGCCCCGTCCCGGCCGGGCCTCCCGGAGGCGGGGGCCGGGGGCGGCGTCCGGCCCGCCTCCCCGGGCTCCCCGCGCCGCCGCCGCCGAGTAGGTGTGGCCGCCGCCCCGCGGCTCCGGGGTCCGGCCGATGGTTTCTGGGCGTTTGCTCCGCTCGGTATCGCAGGCCGTGCCCGGGTGGGAAGGGAAACCCGGCCGGCGCGCGAGGGGACGCGGCGGGGATGGCGGCTCGGTCTTTTGGCTGAAGAGGCCCCCGCCCTCTGAGACCGGAGCCTCCAGCCGGACCTGCCCCGCTCCGGGCTCCTCAGGCCCCAGTGTCCGCTGCCTCCGTGATAAGCGGGGCCCTGGAGGGGCAATAGTGTATAAAGGACTCTTGGAGGAGCGTTAAATCTAGTACTAAAAGACAAGATCTTACATGTGAACATGTAGATACTGAAGATAACGAGGCATGATATGTGTGTAAATGTGAATTACTTTGCTGTATGAGCTCTGAAAAGGGAACGCTACTTGCCTAGGGTAATAAGGGGGTCCGTCTGTCCCTCCCCTCCCCTCCCCCTCTCTCTTTTTCATTTCTTTCTCAACTAGAGTTTGTTTTTTTTAAACACCAAAGCAAACCTTTTCATTGCTCTGCACTGCCAAGAAATCCTGACTGCCAGTTCCGCCGCCTGAGCCATCAGCTGGGAAAAGATTAACATTGGTTGAATATTTCCTCTGTGCATGCGCTGATTATCATAGTTAATCCTCACCTCTCGGTGAGCCAAATGCCGTGCCACTTTTTCAGATGTGGAAGCTGAGGATCAGTATTAAGGGATTTGTCCTAAGAAACAGTAAGAGAAGGAATGAAGTTGGCCCGAATTCCTTGCCTACCAAATCTCATGTGCTTTAAACAAATACCACCTGTCCAAACCTGTGCTGGGAGATCCCTCCTGGGTTATGGTCCATTAGAAGTAGTCCAGTGTCACCTTTATTATTTTCTTTTTATTTCTTTATTTCCTACCTACAAAATATTCCGATGGGAATATCTAATCAAGGAAGAAATGAGTCCTTATAAGCAGAGTTCGACACTGCTTCTCAGGTTCTAAGGACTCAGCTTTTTGTGTTGTTCTTTCAGCACAGCCTCTATCTTTCTCCTTAAATTTTTTATTTCTGAACTAGAGGCCAGGTGCATGGATTCGTGCACATTGAAAGGAAATTAATTGGAAGGTGGCTGGCGGGGCCAACACTTCCTGGAACCAACCTCCTGTGGCCCCTCCCCAGCCAGGTGTGGCTCTGGGGCTCCAAGGGCCTCTGTGGAATGAGTGGCATCCCTCCTGCACGTGGGGTCCCTCTGTCTGGCCTGCAGGGATCGGGCAGTAACTGGCAGTCTGACATCCCCCTAGGGGGTCTCACAATATGAGAGGGCACTCTGTAAAGTTGCTGTCCCTTGGCAGCTCCTGCATTGAGCGTCTTCCCCCTGGTGGTCATTGCACATCATAGCTACCAGTCAGCTGGTCAGTTAGGCTTTATATATATACTAGAGGTCCAGTGCATGAAATTCACTGGGGGGAGGGGGCCTCAGCCCGGCCTGCACCCTCTGCAATTGGGACCCTTATACCTTTTTCTTATCTAGCTAGCCTCTTCACATTTAAAAAAAAAATAATAATAACTGATATACCACCTACTCTAGGAAATCCTCTTTGAACAAATCTCTTCACAATTAAGTAATTTCATAGTATACCATTCTTTTTCTTTAGCAGCAACTTAGAGTGGATTCAGTGTGCTTCTCATTCTTGCATCTGAATTTTTTTCTTGTTTCTCTTGTAATAGTGAAGCCTATCCAATTTACATTTGCCCTTTAAGGGCTTATATTTAGTTCAATTTCTAGTTGGCTTCCTGATTTTTTTTTCTAAGCAATAAATTTAGATTGTGATAGTAAACCTTACTTGTAATCAAGCCTGTAGGTCTCCTTATCTGAATATTTCTATAATACCTATCACTTTAGCATATCAGAGATTGTGTTCATTTATAGAAAATAACAATAAATGTCTCCCGATCATTTTATCTTCTAGTAATATTTTATAGCAAGATGTATTATTATAGTAATTTAACTATTACAAAACTGAGGCGTACAGAAATAAATCACATTGAACAATAAAGAATGTCTCAAATATCAAAGCATTGTACACTTAGGGCCTCCCTTGTCCTGTGCCTCAGCTATCATAGCACAGGACACAGTTCACATGGAACTCGGCTTCCTTTAAAATAGGGAGGGATGCCACACTCATGAAGCAGCTACTTCCACACTTTTTTAAAAATTTAATTCACAGCACATACTCTTTGTACTAATAGTTGGAAAATCACCCGAGCCTCTGTTCCTCTGTATTGTTGCCTTACATTCTGACGTCATTTCTGTGTTTTTATCATCCATTCGCTTAATAAGATTGTGAATTATTTAAGAGCAGAGATCTTGACTTGAGTTTGTGTTTTTCTGTCATGGTGCCTAGATAAATACTCAAATGCCATCCAGTCCAAACGACTGATGAGAGAGACCCATCGTTGCTGGAGACCTCTGATTTTTACTTAAGGGCCTCACTTGTTATGTGCCTTTACAGAGGGGTGAGTAGGGGCTGAGGAAATTTGAGGAAACCCAGACAGAATTGTCCTCCCGTAAGATTTTGCTAAGCTGGCATCCAGGACCGCCAAGCAGCTTCTCAGGACTGCAAGGCATTTGTCCAATTAAAACCCGGACACACAGCAGTAACAAAGGCACTGGTCTACTGCTAACGCGTGGGGAACAAACCCCAGCCTGTAGGAACTCACCACCTTCCCCCGCAACCCCCCAGTCAAGAAGGGCTGAGGATGGACCTGAGCTGGTGCTCCGAAATAGGAATTATTTCAGAAATAAATTATTATTTCTGAAATAATTCCTATAACCTGGGATACTATCAACCGGAAAATCAGAGAAGCACAGAGGATGATTCAAAAACACGAAAGATAACCCTGGTGATTCCTTCAATCTCTGGGGTCAAAACAAAAAACAAAACCCTGAACTTGTACACGCATGCATGGAAAACCGTTGCTCAAAGGAAGAGATTCAGACCCAGGTGGGAGGGCTGTGGGTTAGAGGCCCGGGACTCAGCACCACACGCCCGAGCGGGTCCATAGCGCAGGCGGCCAGCGCAGTGGCTTCTTTATCTGGGACCTCGGGTGGCTGGGCCTTTTCAAGTGGGACCGCCGGGCGGCTTGGCTTGGCCTCTAGGCGGCCTCCGAGCCTTCTGCCAGCCCTGCCTCAGAGGACTGCAGGAACTGTGGCAGGCAGGTGCATGGAGCAGCCAGCCTCCCCTCTCCCCGTGGGGGCTGCCATTTTTGTTACGGCCTGAGGGTCAATTTTCATATTCCCTCTTTATTATATAAGATAGATAATTGTTTATTCTTTTTTTTTATTCATTTTTTATAGAGAGGAAGGGAGATAGAGAGCTAGAAACGTCGATGAGAGAGAAACATCGACCAGCTGCCTCTTGCACACCCCCTACTGGGGATGTGCCCGCAACCACTGTACATGCCCTTGACCGGAATCGAACCTGGGACCCTTCAGTCCACAGACCGACGCTCTACCACTGAGCCAAACCGGCTCCGGCTGTTTATTCTTTAAATATGTTTTTATTGATTTCTGAGAGGAAGGGAGAGAGATGTAGAAACATCAATGATGAGAGAGAATCACTGGTTAGCTGCCTCCTCAATGCCCCCTACAAGGGTTTAAGCTCACAACCCTGGGCATGTGACTGACCAGGAATCAAACCCTGATCTCCTGGTTCATGTGTTGAGGCTCAACCACTGAGCCACACCAACTGGGCCTATCAGTTCGTTTTAACTGTATAAACGATTGTGGTACAGCATTTGAAGTGGAAGAATTTTTCAACTGTTGGCCAGTATAACTAGTGGATATTAATTTCAACTTCAGTTGATTTTATTTGATTCCTCCCTACAATAACAGTAGGTGTATGGCACAGTTTGTTAGCATTAAAATTCTAATAGCTGTTCATGATCTTTATTTCTAAAATAATTTATTGGTGTGTGTGTGTGTGTAAGTGCTCAGAAAAATTACTGGGGAAATGCCAGAGTCCTACTTCCACAGTGTTTATTTATTCTTTTTAATCCTCATGCTTTTTCACTGATTTTTGAGAAAGGAAGGGAGAGAGAAAGAAACATGAATTGGTTGCCTCCCACATGCACCCTGACCTCGAGATCAAACCTGCGTCCTGGGTATGTGACCTGACCAGAATCGAACCCACCATCTTTCAGTGTATGGGACAACACTCCAACCAACTGAGCCACACCAGCCAGGGCCCACTTCCATCCACTGCATTTAAAGACCAGTCACCTACCAAGGACATTTCAGATTAGTAAAAGATAACTGTTGTATATTTAATCAAATATAAAATTGACTTAAGTAGTTCTTGTTTTACACTGAGTTTTTATTTTTACCTTTTATTTTTATATGTACTTTAGAACTCACGCATATTTGGAAAAGGGAATACTCTGTTTAATAATAAAAATACTTTCTTGTCGCTGCCGTGTAGTCAGTGCAATATTGCTTTCTGTGATGTACCTGATACCAGAACCCTAGCCCTCCTGACTGTCCATTTGAGCAACTAAGACCAGTGTTTAAAAGACTTCCCATTTCTGTTATCAGGACAATACTTGCACTCATCCAATGAATATTTGTCTACTCAATCCTCAGTTTTTAACTCTGGTTAATATAATAACTTTGAGAGATTATACAGGGTAGAGCAAAAGTAGGTTT